CACCAACCTTCTCCTTTCACAAAACCATTTGTGTCATTGCATTCTGAGGTCATCGCAGGAAAGAGATCAGAAATGGGAATTTCGGGCTGTATTATCGCTTCCGATCGTGTCTGCTTGATATGTTTTATAGCGACACGGTAGTATCCAAAAGCGACTTGGTCACACCATCCAGAGTACTGCAAGAATAAAGAATAATATTATTATGAACCAAGCGTAGATCAAAAACACATACCGTGCTGCTGTTCTTATAACATATGTCTTTTGTGGCAGGGTCAATCCTAGGTGGATACTTTTGTATCATGTTCTGATTGTCGACCCTCCATAACGCACAGTCATCCCGGAATAGATCTGCTTTGCAGACAACAAACGTTCCTTTCTGAAAAATGGAAATTTGAGGAACTAGTTCGGTAAGGCGGATTGGATTCCACAAACCGGAAGATGGCCGTCAGCTGGTCCAAATTTCGACAGGCGAGCTTTTACCGCTTCTGTGTTGAAATCGTTTCTTAGGCGATAGGAGTGCGATTTGACGTTGGTTTTATGCTCTCCTATAACAGAAGATGATTATACAGGTAATAAATAGACAATAGAAATCTCAAATGTAGGCTTACCGTTTTCTCGATTTTGACTTTCCTGACCTTCTTGCCACTGCATCATCAACCTCCTCTTCTTCGAAAACATGCTCACATCTATTCGTTCTTCCTCTATTCTTGGCGTTTTACCCTCCTCATCATTATCTCTTTCCACTATTCGTACTTCATACCTGCAAAAAAAGCGATGGACACTTCACTCTCACCCACTCAAATGCACTACTTACCCAGAGCTGCTTCCCTTCTCTCGTTTCATACGCTTTTTCCGTCTTGAACGATCGCTTCCTTCCCAATCACTATCGTAATCCTTCTTCTTTCGTTTTTTCTTCTTCTTTTTCTTTGATTCATAGTAGCTTTCAGATGATCGGCGAGGCAATTTGATTATTAGCTTGGGTAGCCGCGGTTGGCTTTCACACCTACAAAAATATGTAAAATCTCGCTGTAAGTTCTGAGAATTCACTGAAACTCACTCTCTCTTTATCTCCTCTGCCCGTCGATCAGCTCCTTCCTCCTTGGCACATTCACTTCCACAGGTTTGTTCCGTCTTTATGAATGTGCAAGCAAGCCTCTCCTTCTTTCGCCGACGAATCGACTCGGCCAGAGTCACGATTTCTGGTTCGGCTAACCTCGCTGAACGAAGTCGATTTAGGTTTTATCGAATATTCAA